ACTGCCAAACACAAATAATATCCCATTCAGCTCATTTTATTGGGTTGGCAACAAAAATCCCAGCAGCAGATAAATCAGATCCTTGCCAGACACCTCTAGGGGGAAGTGGGAAAATATACTTTTTTTCCCATTTTGGATGAACTGACTTTTTAACTTTGCTCCTGGGTACATCATTAAGTATCATTAAAGCACTTTACTTTCCAAGAAATAAAAGCAATTTTAATTGTAAAATGCATGACTGAGAAAATAAAACATTTATTGTGTAAAGTCATTCTTCTTAATGGTGACTTCACTCTGTGAGGCTCTAAACCAGTTCAGCACCTTGGGACAGAAATTCAAAACTGGAAAACTAAACAAGAAAACTTCTCTCTTCTAGAAAAACAACATGCTCATGAGGAAGTTAATATGTGTAACTGCAAGGCACTGCTGAGGAAGCCCATGTGTTTAAAGTCAACTTTCCCTGCATGCATGACTAAATAAATAAATAACTGGCTTTTCAGATGCCTTCATCTTACACTCACCCTTCTCTCCCTGGGCATGTGAGTGAAGATATCGGGCTGTTGGCGTCAAAGTTTCCCTCGAGTCCTTGATACCTGGAGCAGGTGTCTGCTGTTGTAGGGAGGAAGTCTGAATTTCCCCTGACGGTGTTGCTGTTTGAGTACACACCTGAAAGAGACACAGAGACAGTATCTGTGACTTCATTGACAATCTGTTTTTGTTTTGAGTATCCAGAGCCACATGTAGACTTGAACAGTAGCTCTAAAAAGCAGGTGGCTCCTTTTTGAAGGTTTGTGCTGCTGCATTTACTAATATTCACAGAAATGACAATAAAATCAACACTGACAGTTTCCAAAAAAACTCTGAAATTCCTACTGGAGCACATTCTGCCCCTTTCTTCCAAACACTGATATTTTCAACATTTTTGCAAGTGTTGAGAATGTGAAGTTGTCGTTACACTGTGTTTTAGGGGTATCACGCTCATTTTCCATCATAGAGATATTTACTACATATACATACAGTAGTGGATGCTTCAAATACATCCAAACATCCACTTTAGTGTTGAGTCTGAGCACAGCCAGGACAGAAATTGAGTCACCTGTGGTGCTTGCTATCTGATGACAGCTGCTAGCTAGTGTTAGCTCCCAAACTGAGAGCTGAGATCAGGGTGCAGAGTCATTATTCAGCCTGTCACTCTTGTAGACGGGATCCCTAGCTCCACTACAAGCTAGCTACAGTTATCCATTATGAATTACCACCTTCGCTAAAGTGAGATATAAACAATTTAAGCAACTTTTCAGCAAAACAAAACAAGAATGTATGCAGGTAAATATAGTGCGTACTTCCAAAATGGTGCCCCAGTCACACCATTTAACGTGGCCTGACGTACCTTCACATTCTCTATAGCTACATGCTAAATGCTAACCTACAGTTTGCTGTTAGCTTAGCTGTTTGTTGTTCACAACCACTGTAAGCAGGCCAAGTGATATTTTAAGTGTAATCTGTTGGGTTTTTTTTTAACTTATGAATTTATTTAGTTTACAAATGGTCTTAAAATGAAGATAAGAATTTAATAAAAACTTCCCAAACTGCATGTTTTGTCTGACCAACAGTCTCAAACAATCTCTGTCGGTTGTTCTTATTTTCATATTCATTAGAGAATATAAAATCTGTTTACAAGAAAAACATGTTATTTCACTACTGTATTTGTTTATGAATCTAACACACACACACACACACACACACACACACACACGTAACAACTTATTCCTCATGCCCAAAAGTGGGGCCTCATACTTTAAAATAACCGAGAATGATATGAAGATAAGGTGAAAAGTTAGTGCTTGTTACCAATAAAGGAATACTGCAAATTACTACAATATGTACATTTATTTTCTGTTGAGAAACAAATTTAACTAAAAAAAAAATCTTTCAACAAAGCTAATGGCTAACAGAGGCATCAAAATAAAGCTGGCTTACAATGGCAATTCTCTGTAAATGTGCACGCTACAAACCTTTCAGTGTCACCTTTCAAGGCTAAAGGAGAGTGAGTGTTTGATATGATGACAGTTTTTTTTTTTGGTAGTGTATTCATTCAAAGCTGTAACACACACACCTGCAGGGCTTTCAAACCTTGGCTCTGATTTTAGGGCGATAAGCTATGTCACAATACTGTACATCCAACAGTATGAACATACAGTACATATATATATATATATACATAAGGTTTCAGTCTCTACCATTTGGCCATTTCTGATAAGGAGAAAGTCCTTGTGGAACATTTTTAAAATTAAACACTGACATGCTTGTTTCACCTTGGATAAACATAGCTTGTAGTGCGCCGTTTGAATTTTACCCAAAGTCTTATGGGTAAAACTGCAAGTAGTCTGAAGTAATAGGCATGGACAGCTCTCCTGGACACTCTCTGGTCTCTTTTGCCAAATGAGCCTCAGTGTACCTGACAGCTTCTTGATCCTGATTCAGCCATTGAAAGGGAGTGAAAAAGAGCTTGGCTGGAAAACCGGCATGGAGAAGCTGAAGGACGGGGAAGAAGAGGGCCAACTTGCCCGCAGTCAGTGGCCGGTAATTGGACAAGGTAAACACTGGCATGATGAGCCATCATCGAAGGAATGGGAGAGGAGGAGGGAGAGGAAAAGGAGCAAATGAGGCCATGGGAGAAAATGAGCGAAACAGCTTAACAGCCCAGGTGTTTGGGGAATTACCACTTTCTTTGTTTTTAGTCTCTTCCAGAGAGATGTTGCTAAACACAGATTTCCACTGCTTTTGCTACCGTTTCATCAGCGAATACCTGTGAAGTTGTCTAAGCCCGGCAAAGGTGAACCGCTTCCTTGATGGGAAGAAGCCGAACTGTGGAGATGCTGCCTCACCAGACAATCACTCAAAACGTCCGATTCCAGCACTGTGTGCACCTGAACCTGTCAAGAAGACAAAATACAGATGTTCACATAGCTGATGAGAAAAATGTAACACTTAATTTTATGTTACACGCTTTACTGAGCATGTGTGGAGGCCAGCATTTATGCAGGGATGAGCGTAATTACAGATGGATGACAAATGAAAGGAAAAACTACAATTTTCTGGCTTCACCTTCTTTAATGGGAGAAATTGATGCTTTTCTTTGTCAAATATGATCATAAACTGAACATCTTTGGATTTGTTGGTTGGACAAAAGTCCTCTGAAGACACCCCCTCTGTCTCTAAATTGGCATTTTCCCCAGTGTCTGACATTCTGAGAATAAAAAGATAAATCAAATAATCAAAAAAAATGATCTGCAGATTAGTCAGAGACCCCTGCTTTTTTTAATTTCCATACATTTATTTAGGATTTTCCTTGAAATCATCACCCATCTGTATGTCATAACTGGAGCTTCCAACTGTTTTCTGCTGTCAGGCATACAACTCTCATAAAGCTGCATTCTGAAAGGATTTACTTCTCTTCTGATTACATACAGTAGATCAATTGAAAACAGTGAGTTTTCTGCTGGCGGTTTTCTACTGTTCATTTTTCAAAGAAATCATGCTCACACCAGATGCTTGGCTTTGGTTTAGTCAAGTCATCCAGCTTCTCGAGGTACAAAAACCCAGAATCTTGTTAGGCAATCTTATGACAAAATATTTTAACACAGTTAAGGCAAGACAATTGACTTTATTATAAAGCATTAACAACACATCCCCCAGGACTTTCCAAAACAATTTATCGACAGCTTCAGGACTCACAAGAAACTCACGAAGGACACCCAGGAACCACAATAGAGGACTGAATAATCAGCCAAAAATGTTTGCCCAAGCCAGTGTTTATGAAGAAACAAACTTCAATACTTGTGACACATCATCTCAAAAAAATGTATAACCATAAGGGGTTTGCATGTTTAATATTTCAAAGCCCTATTTAACCCCACAGGATTTACTGCAGCGCAGGGCGTGTTAGCCATGTCACAACTTACAAACACACGTGGTTCTGTTTAAACTAAACAAGGCATGGGAATACACACAACCCCCCGTGTCACTCATGGTCCATAGAAAACAAACAAGGCCCAGATAATGCTGAACAATAGGCTCCCTATTCTGACTTCCATGGAGTGTGTGTCATACATTGTTTTGTTGTATTTCATCCTACTGAATCATAAACATGCCTACTCTGTTCCTGATGCTGCTGTCCATCTCTTCATGGAGAGATGGTGTGTTACCTACAGCGTCACCACTGACCTCGGACAAATCTCTTTCCTACTTGAAGTGTTTTTTTAAAAGTTAATGAACAAACTGCACAGACCGTCTCGCTTAAAATAGATGCTGTCCTTCATCAGGCAAAAATCCATCCATCCATTATCTATACCGCTTAGTCCTGAATAGGGTCATGGAGGGCCTGGAGCCAATCCCAGCTGACTTTGGGAGAGAGGCGGTGTACACCCTAGACGGGTCGCCAGTCTATCACAGGGCCGACACTTAGAGACAGACAACCACACTCACTCCTACGGGCAATTTAGAGTCACCGGTCAACCTAAGTTGCATGTCTTTGGACTGTGAGAGGAAGCCGGAGCACCTGAAGAGAGAACCCACACCGGCACATGGAGGACATGCAGACTCAGCACAAAAAGGCCCCGGGTCGGCCGGGGCTCGGACCCGGAACCTTCTTGCTGTGAGGCAACTCCAGTGCCACCCTCAGGCAAAAATCAAAAAATAAAATCAAGATACGGCAGAAGAGCATATAGTTTTGCTTTGCGTTTCTTTGTTTGACACACTCTGAATCTCTTTTCATTTTTCTTTTATAATTTACCATGTACTATGATTGATGTGACTGAGAAAATCTCAGACTTAATTTGTTATATCTGATACATTTCTGCTCCTCCACCTGTCCTATACAGTATTTGTGAGTATATTTATTCTGCATTGTCACATCAGAGAGAAGGTTCCAGGTTCTGGCCTTTCTTTGCGGAGTTTGCATGTTCTGCCCGTGCCTGTAGGGGTTTTCCCCGGTGCATCCTTCTAATGGTATAAATAATGGATGGATGGATGGATGAATGTTTTTTCTCATTCTGTGTGTGCTGCACTCATTTTGTCACAATTATTTAATTATTGGAAAACATTACCTTCATTTAACCAAACACCACTGACAGGAAATTTGGAAAATACCATAGTTATTGTAAATTATTCTGTCATGGATGGATGGTTTGGAAGAATGCTGTAGTGAAGGCTTACATTAAACATGCAGTTGGTTTAAATGTGGCCCAGAATGGACGTCCATCTCAGGCCAAATCTGGACCAGATCAGTCAGACTAAGTGTATACCAATTTTTAATGTCTACTGAAAATAAGGTCGGCCAGTCCGGGCTGTGGTTTAGCTCAAAAGTAACAGGCTTGGACGTTGGGTGCTTGCTCATTTTTTCCAAGCAAAATCAATTAATCATTTAATAAAAATTTTAGATAACTTTTGGCAGCTGAGGTCAACGAGCAAGACCATCAGATATTAAAGAAATCTGCTCAATATAGCAGTAAATGATGACTGTAGTCGCATAGTCTCTGGTGTAAGCTGTTGTATAGCTGTGCCCTGTGCGTAGAAAGATTTAAAATAAATGTCCTAAAAATAGTTTATTTGTCCATGTGTCACTGCTTGGACTGCTGCCGCTGTTCCATCACATCTAATCTACATGTTTGGAATACTGGTAATCGCATTCTGCTATCAGCTAAATGCCCAATGTGTAGAAACATAACTGCTATTGTGTGAAATGCAGGACCTCTAGACTGAAAAACTCTTTCTCTCCCTCTGCCATCAGACTCCTAAACAGCTGACTCAGGATCTACCTCATGTAATTCCATCTGTACTGTTTACATACTCATTTTGCACATGTACAATTGCACACTCACTGCTGAGTATTTGCACTCCACAGCTCCCACATAGCATGTATTCTCTCTGCATCATATTGTGTTCTTCTTTTATTTTTATTTGCTCCCTCACTTGCTGCTTTAAAGTTCATTAGATTTGTATTATTGCTCATCTACTTTATATTTCACTGTATATTTCATTGTATTATGTGGCATTCATATGGATGGCAAAGTAAGAATTTCATTGTACAGGGAAACACGTTTCCTAACTATGCATATGACAAATAAACCCCTTTGACCTTGACCTTTGACCTATTAGTACAGTACCTTGCCCTCCCTCTCCTGATGACCTCTGGCTGAATGAGCTTTGACGTGTTTCCGTAACGAGCTGGGGTCAGTGTAGCGTTTGGTGCAGCCCGAGATCTGACAGGCGTATGGCTTCTGTGAATGCACCCCAACAAGAAGAGGTGAGAGAAGACAGAAAGAAGAAAACAACTTTGTCATCCTCAGGACTGAGACCAAAAGCTGACATTTACTGTTGTCCTTTAAAATCACAAACATTTTCTGCAATCCAACTTCATTTTAGCTGCTGCACAATGAACTTGACAAGAAGAAATATGCCATGAATCAACACAATAAACCCAGAAATACACAACATAACATTTTTTCAGAAGTGTTAACTTTTAGGATCATGATTTTTTTTTTAAGTTTTCCTTACGTCCCTTCAAAAACACACATACATAATGTGAAGATTTTGTAAATCAGATCCTAAAATGTCACATCATTCACCTCATGATGTCAGACACATAATATAACTGTGTTAATAATAATGCTGAGTCCAGGTGGGTTACATGTGTAGCACCGTACGTGTCTTGTAGGCACAAACGTTTAGGATACTTAGCATGACAACTGCACCAACAGTGAATGGAAGGAGGACATAATGTGCTAATCCACTGAGAATGGAGTATATTTACCTTTCTTCTGCAGGCTTAAGGAGAGGAGGAGAGAAAAGAGTTAAGAGTGTACAGATGTTCCTCAACCTGTACAGCCATAAATCAGTGCATTCATAAGATAAATGGTGAATCAGCAAAAAAAAAAAAAAAAAAAAAAAAATTCACAGCACAGTAAACAGTTTCATGTTTGGAGGCTGCATAAACATATTTCTGTTTAGTTTATTTTCACCAGAACAACTTCAATGTGCTTTGGCACTGATTTTACAAGTCTCTTCCGGAGGGATGAACACCATTCTTCCCCTCATTTGGCATTTTGATGATGGTGGTAGAGACGCGGTCTAACAAATTCTCCCAGAGGTGTTGAACTGGGTTGAGACCTGGTGACAGCACGTCGTTCACATAATTTCCATACTCATCAAACCCTTCAGTGACTTCCTTGTGTCCTGATGATGGGGGCTCTGTCATCCTGGAAGAGACCACTCATTTATCCGGCCTGTTCCTTTCATGTGTCACCGGTCTATATACTGTAGATAAACCATTAACCTTTAAAAGCAGTCGCAAAAGATGCTGTTCTTGTGGCTGTTTAGTTGCCTGTATTTCACAATTTTATCAAAGCTGTAGGTTTACATGAGGCCATTTACATAAATCTACAGTAATTCCTTACAGATGTTTTCCTTTGTTTCATTGAGTTTTTAACCAGGTGGAGTGAAAACACATGGACAGTATTTATTTGAATCTTTTACATGAAAGTAAAAATAAATACAGCACAGTGGTAATAGCTGTGCAGCAGGTTTAAAGATACTAGTTTGCTAAATATTTTAGGACGTCTTATCAAGAACCAACTAACCCAACTGTTTATTAAATCAACAGTAAATGCAACATCTTTCCAGCTTTGCTGCCTTGTTTTCTACAGTACTGTTTTGTTGAGGGGTTGTCGTGTGTGCGCGTGTGTGTGTGTGTGTGTGTGTGTGCGCTTTTTTAAATCCCAGATTGTGAAATTCTTTACAAACCAAAATAAATACATTCAAATCTTACATCTTCAATTACTCTGACATAGATCTGGCATCCGGGCAAGTGCTCCTCTACAGTGCTTAACTTTACATGCTGGCAAAAATTGGGCAATATCCTGGTGTTGTGAAACAATTTCTGAACAATATTCCCTGGGAGACCGACTAATAGCTCCCTGAGTCCAAACAGATGTAAAGGAAGTGCTGCTTGCTTTCTAATCTTATATAAACATCAGAGTGATTGCATGCACAGTGCCTATGTCAACTGTTAAAGTTAGGACATGAGTGAATGAATATACACATGCAAAAATGTGTGAAATTATACGATTACTGAGCTGCATAAATCTACAGGGCCCAAACTAAGCTTTTCTGTGTGCTGTTGCAATTTAAGATGCTATTGCTGAAGAAAACAACAGAACTTGTTTTTAATTTATTGTTTTTGCTACTCATCACCAACACAGTGTAGCTGAATGACACTTGTGTTTCAATCTAGAAAGTCATTCCCATCTTGAAATCAGAACTGATATGCAAATAAGAAATTTAGCAGAAACTAGAGACACCTCTGCACGAGGCTGACCTCGTTTTAGAAACAAATCTCCATGAACACACTATTATTAATAACATTAGTAACACAATACAAGTTATTTAGTCAAACTTAAATAACTTGTACTGACACCAGTGTTTTCCTGGCTGGCTGTTACACTATATTCAGTACTTATTTACATTCAGACGATCTTCCACTGGGCCTTTGTGATGGCGCCAGATGTGTCTGATTCTTCATTTGTGACGCAACTGCAAAGCTGCTATTAGCCTGCATGAAACCACAAAAAGGAGAAAATAACTTTTCCCTCTTGTTGTAATAACACTGCACTGCAAAATGCAGCTCCATCTCATCCGTGTAATAGGAGATCTGATTTGCTGGATTACTGCTAAATCCTCATTGCTTGTCAGCAGGAGTAAAAATAACTGTGGTTTGTAGAATAAATCCACAGCAGGTATGCAGTTTCACAATCCTAAAGAATGTTCAGACTGAGTTTCATGCAAGTATGCAGCAGGAGGAAAGAGGGGCAGTGGCACTTCAAATTAAAGTGATTTTATGCATGTTAAAGCACACCAATTTCCTAGAAAACACAAGAAATATTTTGAACAGTGAAGTGTAGTGTTTTGTATTTAAAACATACAGACATACTGCTGACCTTTTCTGGCGATTGCTTCATTTTTGCTTTTTGTCTCTGAGACACAAATGACTTGTACATAAATGTTTCTGATGACTTTGTGTAGACATGAACAGTAGTGGAGGAGCTACTCAGATTTTTTTATTTAACAAAAGCCACAATACCGCAATCTAAAACACAGGTAAACTGCAAATAAAAGTCTTGCACTCAGACTTTTTCTTAGAGTGTTAAATTAAATTAGTGGAGGAAAGTACCTAAAGTACTTAAGATTAGTTTTGAGGTACCAGAATAAATGAATTTTAGGAAAAAGTCCACAACGCTGAGACGACATTTGGCCCCTGGTGCAGGAGAAGGAGCCACGGCGAGCTAAAAAGTTTGGATTTCAACAAAGGGGCCTGTTTTCTGTTCTCTCACAGGCTGCATCAGTGGTAGATTTCATAACTTATTTTGTGGTCGAAGCCTCAATTTATGACCATCATGAGCATGAGGGACACTCACCCTCACTTCTCTGAAAGCCCAGATAAAATTTCACATTAGTTTCATCTGAATTCTTGGCTGTTTCTCAGCGGTTGACAGCGCAGAAGTGTAGAATAGCTAGACATTATGTTGAGACGTCGGAGCTGGCATGAATGAAAACTGAAATTTGAGAGTGTTCTCCACAAACTAAAAAAACTGGATTATTGACGGTACTTCATGGTTTATTTAAATTATTTTCTTTTCTTTTAGCATTAAGTGATATGTTTATTACAGAGCTCTGACTAAGGTGGAGCTGTAAAAGCATTTCACCTCTCTGCATGTTTAATCTTGTGTTTCTGCTGCCTTTACATTCATCTGACGACATTCACTTCTGACGTGCAGCACTCGGAGGTTTGTTCTGACAAGAGAATGACATGTAAAACTCCCATCGCGCTTCACTTTGACTAAGGATGGTGTCCAATAGTATAAATGAAGAACCAGAGTTTGTGCAATCTGTGCTACAAGACAGTGACAGTAATGTTTAGTGTAAAATTCTGTCAGACTGGGGTGACATGAATGGTTGTGTGTTGTTCACTGACTGTGTCCAGGTGTGTGCGCTGGTGTTTGGCCCGGTCACTGGAGTTGCTGAAGGCCTTGAGGCAGCCAGAATGCTGGCAGATGTATGGCTTCTCGCCGGTGTGACTCCTCAGGTGGATCTTCAGGTTCTCCAGACGGGAGAACGCCTTGGAGCAGCCCTCAAACTAACAAGGGAAACATCAACGGTATTAGTACAATATACAGGTAGACATGCACCATTTAGACTTACTCACATGACTAATGTTGTAGCTATCACTTTTAAAATGTTTTCCTCAAAGAAATGACCTCGACATCTAAAAATCTTTTGTGGTTTGTGGTCCATCTGATAATCTGCCTGTGGACAGACTATGACAGAACAGCACCCTTGAGACCATGCAGCTATGTAGTTTGTGTTTGTTTTGTTTTAAGGACATTTTGGGTATTTTTATACTGAAAGCATCCCTCTGGATTCTTTGCATTGCTTTGTCTCTTCCTGGTTGTTTTATATGTATTTGTAGTTTTTTTTTTTTCCACCTGTTTGTAGATGTTTTGTGCCTCTTTGTGGTCATTATGCATCTCTTTGTGGTTATTTTGCTTATCCTTGAGATAATCCTGCCGTCTTTTTGGCTGATTTGGATCATTTTACATTTTTTTGACATGACATCTGACTCATACTCTAATACACAACAATAAAGTGTGTTTCATGCTCTCTAAACTAATCAAGAGGGAAGCGTATTCTACCTCATATTCATTCCAGGGTTTTATTAGGTCTTGCTAATGAGTTGGTAAATGTCAGCCACTTCATTTATTTTAATAATCTGTATCTGCACCACATTGTGTTGACTGATTAATCAGTCATGTTTCTCGTGTCAAACATTTGACATCTCAGCATTTTCTGACTGCACCATCCTGTGACAGTTGGCCTCAAACCCATTTGTCCCAGACATCTTTTATAGGCTGAGCAATGTTCTACAAGAAAGCAGGACACTGTAGTTTTGAGGAAATGTTACCACACAGGAGTAAACAGTGCATTTGTTGGGGACTATTTCCATCTGCGGATTAATACAAATTTGGTGCTTTAGTGAGTATTTTCAGCAGCAGGACGGTATCAACAAATCCTCCAAATTAAAAGTCGGACTACACTGTTTACCCTTTAAAACAACATGATGCCCCTGTTGTCAGGACATCATTTACCTGTGGTTTTCAAAACCTGTTATAAATGACTGAACATCAGTGCAATAGGTCGCTTTTGGTTAAGGCTTTAGGCAAACGGTGACTTGGATAAGTTTGGGTAAAGATCATGATGTGTTCAAATAAGTGTTTAGTTACTATAGGTTAAGGCATACATTGAGGTTTGGGTTAAAATTACAGCTGTCAAAGTTATGAGAGAAGTTCATGGTTGCAATAATAAACACTTGGTCAAGGTTGGGGGGAGGGACACTGACGTTCAACTGGAAAGTCTGATATTCTCTCGACCCATCTGTCCACCACGACCTCCACCTGTCTGCTGACCTGTCACCTTACGTCCTCCTGTTCAGATGGACTAGAATCGTAATTCCTGTAGCTACTGGAGGGCTTTGTCACACAAACATTTGTCATTCTGGAGCTTTTGCTTTTTGGGAGGACAGTTAAACAGTGTTCAAAATAAACTATAGTGTCCATATTTTGTCAGTGCACTGATGCATTTTAAATAGTTTTTGGACAACAGTGGAATTAGATACAGCACCAGGATTGGCTACGTGTCACTGTTGGTCTTCGTCTTTTCCTGGGATTCGGTGACAGGAGGTTTAGATTCATTCCAGCACCTTAAATTATAAGTGAAGACTCCAACACAGTGGATTTAAAAAACGGTTTGGGAACTCGTGTTTACAGTCTGAGTAGCACCTGTCTGATCTGAGACTTGACTTTATAAGCTGGTAAACAAGGCTGAATTCATTAACAAACACTGACTACATTCATGTGGGATATTCATGTTTCCATTGCAGGAATGATTTTATTTTTCTGTTTTGGCCAGAGTGCTTTATGTGTGTGACTAATGACTATGTTTTGTGTCTGTGTTGATTTAATCTTATTAATACATTTGCAGGCAACTCTCCATAGTCATATATTTACAAGTTAGCAGCAGATTAGGTCATTTAATGAACTAATTCACTTATGCAGGAAGTGTGTCCCTGAGTAAAATAAATTCTTAATGAATTATTAATCGGAGTCCCAGGTTGACAACCGTGGAGTTGCCGCTGGCGAAATACAAAGAGAGCTACTCACGCTCAGGGACAGGGATTTGGCACCAAACAGAATGTCATCATGGGACAGACATGTTCAGCCCTCAACAGTTGTGTTTCAGAAAATGAGTCATGACAGAAGTGATGGAGGGTGACGCTACACTGGAGCTCAAAGGCCACTGTTGTGATGGTTAATGCAGAGACATCACAGTCTCTGTCTAACCTTGAACCTAATGTGGTCTGGTTTGGTCTTTAGCTTGTATCTGCGTCTTGAGTTTTTCAAAATTCACTTTTTTAAATTAATCATCCTTTCAAGACACACTGTACATTTCTCTCTGGGAACAGTTTCTACAAGAATGAATGATTTATCTGCTTATTATATCACAAAATACATCCTTATGCGACTCACCGAGTCCTTGTTTTCCAAAAAATCTAATCATTCAATACTATTTATGATCAGCATTTACAGTATTTCCATTCACTAACACTCAATGCAAGAGTTCTGCCTTAAAGTTTTTATGATGCCTATAAAGCTCAGTTCTTACTGACACTGTCATAGGTGCCCATTTAATTGCTAAAACACTGGTACTAAAACATTCAATTCTATGTTTTTGCAGTGAAGTCATAGTGGTTGTTTGACTGGACTGCATTATATTGAGGGGTGTTTTTAATATTCTGCCAAGGTCGTGTATGTAAATAAAGAGAACAAACAATTAGGAACACCTCTCATTATAATGAAGTCCAGAACAGCACCACTTTTAACTCTGACCTCAGTGGTAAATACATAATTTAATTTCAACAAAAACTGAACATTATGAAGTTTGTGAAGGGATTCGAGCCATGCAAATTCATTGAGGCTAACTGATATCAGCTTCTTTGCTCACTGCTCTCTCTCTTTACAGCTGTGTTAAGTTACTGCCAATGCTAACCCAACATTTACTATTGCTGCTGCTTGATATTGAAAGCGCTTGACTGGTGAAACACTGGATAGCTTTTATTGTGAAAGAGCCACATGAAACTCAGGGTATCAAAAATGCATTTCCAAAAAAAAACTAACCAGCCCCTTTTACTGTGCTCTGCTGTTGTGTGGAAACGTATCTGTGCCATACAGAGCATGAAATTAAGGTTGCACCTAACTATTATCTTCATTAATAATTAATCTGCTGATTATTTTCTCAATCAATTAATCAGTTTATAAAATTCAACAGTTTAAAAGTGCCTTCACAGTGGCTCGGTTTGCTTTGACCAACACATTTTATCTATTGTCACATATGACAAAAGGAAAGTGCAAATTCTCACATTTTAGAAGCTGAAATGAGAAAATATTTCTCATTTGTCAGTTATCAAAATAATTTAAAAATCCCTGCAGCTCTACATGAAACCAAACTGCAGTTGCTAGATTTATTGACTAACTTTAGCAAAACAAGACTTTGTTTTGCTGCTCTGTAAACAGATGCATCAGTTTGTCTTCTCTCTGGTTATTGCTTCCCAGGGAATTCTGGGACTTGTCACCAAATCGACCAGGACTGAAAGATTAAAACTTTAAAGACAGCCTGCATGTGTCAAGCTTGAAAAGGCAGGAAACATTCTTCTCTGTGCATGTGAATGAATGATTTATTACCATATTAGAGCACTAAACATAAAAACAAACTGTGTGCCACACCTATAAATTAATACCATTTGTCAGAAAAACCACAGGATGATCAGCTCGTCCTTGGAGACTCAGCTCTGCAGACACATCCTCCATTCATTCAAAACTGCCACGTCTGGCACGTGTGAGTAAGAGAAACCATTTGACCTTCTCTCTAACAGACTGTTGATCACCAGCTGTGTGAGAAAGATGGCGCTGTACAAACTGTTAAATTGTGTTTACTATGAAGCTACATGGTTGATGTGACTGAAAAACTCTCCTCTTCTTTACTGCCAAGTTGAATTAAAGAGGAATCTCTTCTATCTTACATTTTTCAAGCCATCTTTGGACAACGCAGAGATGTCAACATACTTGAAATAGAAATTTAAAGACTTTGGGATGTATCAGTGACCTTGCTGTGTGGGTGAGTTATTTAAACAGTTTTGAAAGTTTTGAGGCAAATAAGTGATATGATTGTTTTGATATGTTTTCTAGCATAAAGTAATTTCCCTGAACTACTTCTACTGCTGTAAACTAGCAACTTAAGGTAAAGTTTGCACTGACAATAAACAGCCACGGCCACGGTGTATGGCCTTAAGGCCTTGCAGATGAAAAATGTACTAAGAATATTTTGATGTAATTTTTCCTTTATCTCACTGCAGCTCTCTGAGGCAGCAGAAGGATGTGGTGGCACCAGGCAGATTTCAGGTGTAAAGTGCATGCGCACTGACAGAAGTGTTAATCAGTTTTCCTGAATGTTTAATAAAAACATTGACTAACCGTGCAAAAGCAGACTGGCTCACCATGCATTTGTTGGGTTTCTCTCCAGAGTGAACCCTCATGTGGATGAGCAGCTTGTAGCGAGCGTTGAAGGGTTTGTGGCGCCGCACACAGCCAGCCCAGAAACATGCAAACTCCTCGCCTTTGCGCTGGTCGATGTGAACTTTCTCGATGTGTCTCACCAGCTCCTCCTGACTGCTGTAAGTGGTACTGCAGTCGATCCAATGACATAACTGCTCCTGCTGGTCCACCAGATGGTCCTGTCCCACAGATCTATTGAGCCTGGGGGACTGCAGAGGGGTCTGACTGCTGTCCTGACCATTGTGGCCTTGAAAGGTCTCCCCCATATGGAACAGCTCCCCCTGCTGGTTGTTCATCTGAAACGGTTCTCTCTTACATGGTGAGAAACACTCTGCAGGCTCCTGTTTGATGGAGTGATACTCTTCTTGTAGAGTTTGCTGATGCTGAGATGTTTTGTTGTTGGCATCAGAAAGAGGCAAAGAAGAGGCAAAAAGTAAAGAGGAGGAGGATGAGGAGTTGGAGGATAGAGAGGATGAAGGGGAGCAAAAAGAAGGAGGCGTGGTACAGCTGGCTAGCATGTAGGATAAAGGGAAGGAGGGCTGGGGGTAACAAGCAAACCTCTGGGAGTTGTTTTTAGGGTCTGTGTGCGTGGCAAAGTCCTCCACAGTCTTTTCTACGTGAGATCCATTGGTCTTACAGTTGAGTAAAGAGGTGAGGTCTCGCCCCAGGGAGGACAAGGACAGGGAAGTCCTCGGAAGACAGCACAGACCTGCTGAATGGACTGAAGACTGACAGAAGCCACCAGAGGACAGCAGCGCCTGAAGGTCCTCTGCATCTTCAAACACACTCCCAAAACCAGGAAGAGTCAGCTGGACGTCTGGAGGCCCAAGATCAGGGGGCCACATCTCGGCCCCCGCTCTCTGGCTTCCACCACGAGATTGCTTCAGTAAAATCTTTGGTGATGATTTTGCTGGAGCAACTTTAAGAATCCATTGGGGGTAAAATTAATCACAGCATCTTTCAGCAATCAAATATAATCAAATTAGATTGATCTTCTTTATGTGTAATCTTCTATTATTTGTTCCACACATGGTCAGTCATCACTCATACTCTGTGGGAGACAGAAGCCAAACCCAGATGAGTCATCTTAAAAGACAAAAATCACAAATATAAAACACTTTCTGAAGCAGCTTTGAGAAAGAAGAGCTCCTATCTTTCACTTCAGATACAAACACAACAGGTTAAAGTTTTACCTCTAAGAACAGTTATTTAAATGAACCCATCTGAGAAGATTAAAGGGGAAACATCTCTCTGAAACAAAAGGGCCCAACTGCTATTTTTGTAAAAGATCATAAACCAGAATGGCTGAGATCCACTCATTTAATATGTAACACTGTCTTGTATTTTTTGAGCTTATTGTAAGTTTTTATGTAAATGGGCCAAGGTTCAGATCAAAATTTACTTAAAATAAAGCAGTACCTCAAGAATACTCAGTTAACTGTGCTTTGCATCACTACAATAGTGTCAGACTCACTCAGTTTTATTTAAAAAAAGTGTTAAATTTGATGGAGCAGAACATGTGAAAGCCTAGCGCCTACATCACCCACAATGCAACTCAACCACCAGCAGTGCAGCGAAAGATTTGGATGTGTTATGTTAGTAGCAGCTAATGTAGCCTCACGCAGAGATGAGGAGGGGGCTACAGAGGTCCGGTAACTTTTCCACATAGACAGTAGTGCTCCCCAAGACCTTTTGTGTGTCAAATAAGTGGGGGTACCTGAGTAAATGTACTGTTACTTTGCCACTCCTGTGAGCTGATTGGCCAAAATGACTCAGAGTTTACTGTTGTGTTGCAGAGCTATGACTCAGCTAGTGTGTCAACTTTCCATGCCATAAGGGTCGAACTATGTTAATCCCTCATGTCCAGTCATCAGCAACAGTGTTCAATCACTAACAACAAATGGACTAAAATGACCAATGGAGACGTTTTGTATGAAGTAAAACACAAACAGTGCGTCTGACCCCTTGTCAGCAGGCTTCAATCAGACATTTCAAGGTGCAACACTGCAGCAGTGTGTACTTGTTTCCTTTGAGCTGCTACAACAGTTCATAGCTGCAGGCACCAAGGCCACCCCTGCAGCAAACAGCCAGGCGTTGTGTGGCAGCTGACTGCCTGGAACCTGGGCCAGATGTTGTTGTCTCTGCTAGCTACTGATGCAGGACAGGGTGGCTGAAAAACCTCGGATCAAACACACGTTCCTGCACCCCTGTAACATATACAGTAGCCCTGCTGTGAAAAAGTCTGAGCATTTACAACAGGATCCCTGCTGCATATAATTAGTCATTGGAAAGATTCAATGGGATTTATATATGGATGGTTTTAAGAGCCAGAAACTGACACAGCAAAGAGGATGAGTAAGTTCACTTCTGAAGTTATATTTGCTGATGAAGGAGGCACTAAGAGTAGGTTCATGCCCAGAGTTTCCTGGTATAGTCTGGTTTACAGTTTTATGATTCTTCCCGTAAATCGCTGGAGTTCCCCCCACCAGAGTCATGTACCACGACAGTCATGGGAACTGTGGCTGTTCTTAATTAGAGAGGTTGTGATATGTCTATGTTTCAATGGGTTGAATAGAATCAGTGATAACAGTGTAGCAGAAGTGGTTTGGTATGAAATATGATAATTGCAACCTAGTACCTGTTGGCTTTAAGATGCAAACAAAACATTAGACTCACTACAATCAAAGAATTGGCCAGTATTCTTGATCTAAATTGCATCACACCATCTGCATGTGGACATCCACTCTACCATAAATCTAGCTAAATGAAATCCAACAGCAAATATAGCTACAACAGATTTTTTTTTTCAGTGTCTGTTCATAAACCACTTTGGTCCTAATCCAAAAAGAAGAGTCAGGCGGTAAAACTAAGAAAAGTGTCCCACAAAGCCTCAACTGCCAGCAAACTTTATAAAATAGCAGGCTCATCTCATGTGGTGTCTTTCTAAGACTCACTTGCTGAGGTTAGCTAAACACAGCTGTGGTGTTTCTGGACAAGCAAATGCGTACTTGTCTCAACAATAAGCACTTTGGTTCTTGGATTACAAACTTTTTTATGCTTTCTGGTTCATCTGAAACATGGGAAAAAGATTTGTATTGAAATAAAAGATGTGAATATACGGACAAAGTTCGCTTTCCTAATCCTGTTGCTACTAAATGGTCTTCAGTGGTTTTAAAGAGGCGTCAGAGTGGATTGGCAATTCATGTAAAGATTGAATCCTGGAGCTGAATTTACATCAATACAGGCAAACAATACATTCTTTAGAGGTAGGTCAGAGCTAATTTGCAATCCTAACATTGCTTTATATGAATGTTTTATATAAAATCATGTGACATTTTATGAGCCTGAGAAGGAAACAAGTCCTGTAAATAATAGTTCCTGGACTTAAATACATTTTGTATATAAATACCCACAGATGGCGTATATTTCTACTTAGGATGATATGTTTCCAAAAGAACAAAAGCTCATAAATGAAGCTGACTGTGCATTAAAGAAAACTTTAATTATGTAACTACTTGCACAACTGTTGCTTGTGTTTTTGTAAAAGACATGAGAGACTGGTATCGCAGTAACAGAGAAAGCTGGCTGGAAGCTGAGAGTTCACACGTCTCTAAATAATCTCCACTTCAAGGCCTCCATTTTCAAAACAGGCTAACCTTGTGAAACCAGTTTTGTAGGCTTGGGGTGTGCTATTAAGTCAGAATTTACTCTGCTTTTTTATTTATTCACCGGAAATTGAAAGATCACTTTTCTGCCAGCTGTTTAGTTTACGTTTTTACAGTTGCACATCAGGGACATTTACAGAAAGATGACTGATTATTACCAGAAACTCAAACATCAAGTTGTGAATCATTATTCCCTGAAACTTTTTTGAATTTCCCGTGAAGCCTTCATCAGGACACAGCTATGCAATGTAATTCTTGGCAAATGCTTTCGCTTTCGTCCGTCTTGCGCCGGTTCAAGAATTTCACCTCTAGCGGCACAATACGAATGCCCCCAGCCGTCCCTCTCTCCCCCTCATTTTTCATTATCTCTATTGACTGCTTGTGATAAAGGCTTAAAATAGTTAAGATAATAATTTTTATTTCCTTATAATAAAATTTTCCAGTAAAATTATTATAAAAAGATTACAAAGACAACATGTGAGGCTGCTCCCAGTGACTTTGTCGGGTTAAAATTGTACAAAGTCAGGGACTGAATTCAACAGTAACCCTCACGGTCAGCATTGTTTTTATTATAAACAACCATGACTTAATTTAACTTCAACAGCAAAGATTCAATTATGTCTGTTTTCTTACAATTTCAAATAAGACAAAAGAGAATTTTAAGTTGTGCTGGGGAGTCTGCTGCAATGCGCCGAGCTGAGTGAACCCTCAGCAGTTCATTCATCAAAAGACTTAAGAATACATGCTTATATTAGTTGATCCCACTAGATTCTTGGATGTTTTACAGTGCAGATTTTATCATGAAGACCGAACAACCTGTGAGGCCAGCTTTCACATAAATGTCTACAGTGAGCAAGGCTTTAAAATAAAAATAAATAAAAGGTGAGGGTGCTGAAACACCTGTGGCTAAGTGTGGAGCCATGATGAAGGCCATGTGCCTGGAAGGTGCCACCTCATTTCTGAAGTGTGTCAGCCTGATTCTTGCATCAAAGTGTACTGAGGGTGAGACTGAAAACGGTTTTGGTGGCTGTTTTTCCAGACATGTAAAAATCCCTGCACCATCCAAGTGAGAGATCAGCTTAATGAAAAGTGCAATGTCAAGGCTGCTGAAGGAGCAACAACACTGTGACAAAAATCAGTGATGAAGCTAATGCCATTAAGTCATGTTTAAACTTGAACACTCAAAGAAGGGGCCTGTCTACAGCTGGTGACAAAAACACTGTGGAAAGCCTGAAGCTAAAGTGAGGAGTGCAAAGCTAAACCACAAGACACCAACAGAGCAAAGCTCACTGCTTTGTTTTTAGCCTTTTTGTCAAAGATAAAAATCCAGTGGAGTGTTATTTACATGGAAAATAAGCTCAAGGCCAAGGTTTACCATGAGACTCAGTCAATATTGGGGAAAATCCATCCACTCATCCATTTTCTTCCACTTATTCCTGATTGGGTCTCAGTGGCAACAGGTTCAGCAAGGTAGCCCAGATGTCCCTCTTCCCGGCAACATTTTCCAGCTCCTCTGGCGGGATTCCGAGGCGTTCCCAGGCCAGATGAGATATATAATTTCTCCAGCGTGTTCTGGGCCTACCTTGGGGTCTCCAACCAGTTGGATGTGCCCAGAAAACCTCCAAAGGGAGGTGCCCTGGAGGCACCCTGATAAGATGCCCTAACCGCCTCAGCTGGTTCCTTTCACTGTGAAGGAGCAGCGGTTCAACTCCGAGTCCCTTCCACACATTTACTCCTACATGACAGCTCAAGTCATAAGTAACACGCGATATAAACAGAGTTTATTATCATTAGCTTTGTTTAATTGTGCAGCAGTCTGGGATGACTGGACCTTTCACTTGGTCAGCATTTGTTTTATTTGGAGGAGTTTTTGCATCAGCAGTTCAGTATTAACACGTCCTTCATACGATGACTGGAGCATCAGCTGTGTTTGGTGTGATGTTAATTAAATGTGGACAGATTAGTTTTTGGAATTTTGGAAGAATCACTCTTTATGTGGTGCTCTTACTGAACTGTACGGGGTTAAGTAACCACTAATTGACTAAGGTCAATCTTCTGAAGGTGTTCACAGTAAAGCTGAAATATGTTAAAGTCCTGAATTTGTTACATTCATTCCTATAGGTATTCATTCCTAAAGTCCTCTCAGGTTATTTGGCTAAATTTGATCATTTGTATCACAGACATGTAAACCTCCCAGTTCCATAATACTGTCAGACTGTTTTTGTATGATTGTAGCCAGAAAGTGTCTTTGGCACTTTCCAGATTTTGAGAGGCAGTTGGGTCAAAGTAAACTCTGTGAGAGCAGGTGAACAACTGCCTCATGTTACACAAAATATAGATGTGCTATTAGAGGACAATTCAGGCACGTCATCTTAGTGTAAGGTCT